TCAACTTTTCCAAATTATTCCTTTTCTCTACAAGATTTTAAAAATAAATGAAAGGTGTAACCAACCATAGAACAAAATGAGTGCACATAGATAATTACTGTCATTTATATTCCCACTCAGATACTCAAGTGCTACATGCATGTCCACTCCGGGAAATGGAAAGTTCTACGTACTTGAGTATTTAGTTCACTAAAATACAAAGGTGGAATAGCAATAGGAAGTAACTCACCATCGTGTCTTCTTAGTAGACCAGGTGTATCTGTCACCTGAAGACAAATGCTGTAGCTTTAAGATATTAACAACAGTGGAGAGACATTGCATCAAAATAAATCTCCCAAAAAATATGAACCTGGAAATTCTGGTAGCTCAATGTCATGTGACCCATCAGAATTCCTCTTGTTGTGAAAGGATAATTACAAACCTGAGACATCATTAGAGCAGCAGAATCAGTGCAGTTTGCTGGCTTATATCCATCAGTTTCCAGTGCTTTCGAAAAACAGAGCAGCATATGGTTGCCAAGTAAACATGAGGAAATTTTATAGCAAAAGGCATTATAATATATAGGCAACACAGACGTAGTTTTCAGCCATATAATTTGATATTTCAAGGTGAGCATGAAAAACTATTCAACAAATATAAAAAATGAGTCCTGGAGTTTCTTTATTTACCTCAAACGCAATTCCTCAAATGAAAACATTAGATTCTTCTCCTTTTGTTCCATTTCATTTTCCATTTTCTTAACATTTTTTTCTACTATCAACAATTTCGGGCGCGATTGGAAAAGAAAAATAAATTAAATTTCCTCAGACAGAGAAGGCAGGCCAGATCTCTGTGCACATAATTATGAAATCATTTTCAGGCAAAAATCATAATATTTTGCTCATTTTCATCTTGTACCAACTATTTACTTTGACGTATATGTGAACTAACATTCAGATTAATTAAAGTCAAACTATTGCAATACCAGAGATCAAAATAAAATAAAATTCTAGCCATTTGCTGATTCAAGAAAGGACAAAACATGCGATCCAACGATCCTGGATTCCTGGTACATACCTCGGGCTTTCCTGTCGATAGTAAACGTACCAAAGACGACTTTCCTACATTAGGTGCCCCGATAAGACACAAAGTGGGTGTTTCAAGATCAACTACTGGCATCGCCCGTAAAGTCTGCAATGCAAACTTGTTAAACATAAACTTGAAATATTTACATATGTATCTTCATTCAGCAATTCAACTACTTATCAGCTCTGCTAAATAGAACCTACGATGATAAAAAGAATTCAGAAAAGATCACCCAATTATAAGCACTGTCTTTCTTTATATTTTATTCCAATCGTAGTTCAGCTCCTATTCTGAGCAGCTAGAGTCAACAGTTTAAAAGTTGCAAGCATTGTTTGTTCAATAATTTACCCCAGTAACCCATAATAAATTTGCATATCGGACATTCTTCGCAAGCCAATAAAGTTCCCTGGTCACAATTTTTTTATGAACTGAA